TTGCTCCTCAGAAGCCATCAACCACAGAGCAATTGCCTGCAGGCGCCCCCTGTAGTGCAGGAGGAGTAAAGACAGGTACAGTTGTTGCTCCTCAGAACCCATCAACCACAGTGCAGTTATCTGTGGACGCCCCCTGTAGTGCAGGAGGAGTAATCACAGGAACGGCAGTTGCTGCTCAGACTCCCTTGTGCACAGTGCAGATACCTGTCAGCGTCCCCTACAAAGCCAAACGAGCGAAGAAAGGTGCAGCAGTTGCTCTTCAGACATCATCAACCACACTGCGTTTCCCTGTGGGAGCCTCCTATGGCACAGGTGGAGTAATGACCGGCATGGAAGGTGGTGCTCAGACTCCATCGTGTACAGTGCAGATACCTGTGAGCGCCCCCTGCCAGGCGGGAGGAGCAGGGACAGGCATGTCGGTGGCATCTGCGACGCCAGGAATCACGGTGCAGCTGCGTGCGGCGCCTCCCGTGTCCTTCTCAAGAGCCATGGTGGCAGCAGGTGTGAACCCCTCCAGCCAGTTCCTGCAAATACGGCCTGTTTCCCGCAGCCCTTCTCACCTGCAGGCTCCTTTGCAGCCTCTTCTCCTAACCATTCCAACAGGAGGCTCTGTAAGCCTGTATAGCCTGGGAGGAGCCAGCGTGGGAGGTGTGGGCAGCGGAGGGGCTGGGGGGATGCTGTTTCCCAGGGCAGTGGGTGAAACAGGGCCAAGAAGGGTCTGCAGAGTCCTGCAGCCCACGGTCGTCATCAAACTGGGCACCCCTCTGACCACTGCAGTGACCGCGGCCGACAGGAGGTCCGCCGAGACCCCCCCCGAGCCCGCCTCCCAGCCGCAGGACCCCGTTACTCACCCCGATGGTGCCCTGGCCGTACTCCGCAAGCTGGTCGGGGTTGCCCCAGAGTCCGGGAGGTCCCCAACACTCAAAGGGGACATACCTTTGCAGCTGAGGACAAGTCCCTTATTACAGTGTAGCATCCCCTCTCCTGAAAGCCGCCATCCTGCCTCCATTAATCCCACATCCCTCCCGAGTCCTGCAGCCCCGGAAACCAGCCCTGGCAACTTGGGTACCAACACCTCTGAGGTCGAGGGGGCCCCCCAATTCAGCTCGAAGCCTCCCGATGTCATGGGACAAGAAAGAGCCGGAGCAATGCAGGATCCCCACAGTTGTCAAGTGGCAATCCACATTCCAGTCTCAACGAGTGCAGGGGGACCCCCAGAATGTATGGACAGCCAGTCCCTTGAGAGTAGCACTCTTACACATGCTGAAATGGCAGCCCCCTTGAAATCTGCAGCACCCCAATGCCCAGAACCCCAGCAGCCCACAGCGGGAACAACTGAGGAAATGAACCCCACAGGGGCTGTACCCCACTTGAGTACGAACACTGCGGACGACACAGAGACTTGCCAAAAAGTGTGGATCAGCACAGACACTGGAGCAGCACAGCCGTTATCTCAGGAACTCCAGGGCTGTACAGTGAAGTCCGTACCCCAGAACTTTTCAAGCATTATGGATACAAAAGGGACACCCCAATATTCCACGGTGAATGCAGAAAATAAAGGGGTTCTCCCCACCCCTTCAAGTGACATAGGTACCAAGGAAGCCCCTCCTGGTAATTCAAACACAGTCTTCAACAAAGGGACCCCAACAAACTCCTCTGAGCTTATCTCAACTTTAGGGGTGAGGTCTGAGACGGGTGACAGAGGCCAAGGTCAAACTGAGACCCCTGAATCCCAAACATTCACCAGTCACAATGTTGGCTCATGTGAAGGCAGTGGAGGGGTACCCCAGGAATCCTCTGAGGCCAAAGACACGACAGGTTCTTCCTGCAGAGTTAGCGGCATGCATCCATCCCCATTTCTCTGCACCCCCTTGGGTGCTTGTCTGCCTGAAGGAGAGATTGAGGAGGTGGAGGAGGACAGAGAGGATTTGGGTCAAGAGGAGGAACACGAGGAAGAGATGGGGAGTGATTTTGGGGAGCCCCTCCTGGCCCTCTCGGAGTCATCAGGGAGCCCAGCTTCTAGTCTGGACAGCCAGGCTGATGCGCTTGAGCGACTGATGGAGATTGAGGGGGAGGAGGAAGGAAGAGGGAACGAGGAAGAGAGAGAGGGGGGGAATTTGACCTGCAGAGACAGTGTTCCTCAACTGCAGAGAGGCACAGAGGAAGAGGAGGAGGGCGGGAGAGGGAGGGAGGAAGAGATGGAGAGAGGGGGTTTGACCTGCAGAGACATTGTTCCTCAAGTGGAGAGAGGCACCGAGAAAGAGGAGGAGGAGGAGAAGGGAGGAAGAGGGAGTGAGGAAGAAAGGGAGAGAGGGGGTTCGACTTCCAGAGATGGCGTTCCTCAGCTGGAGAGAGGCAACACCGAGGGGGGAGGGAGCTCTCCACAGTTAGAGAGAAATGAGGAGGAGAGAGAGACGGAGAAAGAGAGAGGGGCTTCGGTGTGCAGAGACAGTGTTCTTTCACTGCGGAGAGACACAGAGGGAGAGGAGGAGGGAGGAAGGACAGTGTCAGGACATGGCTCTCCACAGTTAGAGAACAATGAAGAAGAGGATGGCGGGGGGCGACCGGGGCCAAGGCGCAGTGAAACTGAGGGAGAGGAGGGCGAGAGAACGGGACAAGAGGAGGACCGAGCCCGGGTCAACACGACGGCCTGCCAAGTCGAGTGGGGCCTGCAGGGAGAGGCCGGGGGGGGTGGCCTGGCGCTGAGCTCGGGCACAGAGAGCCAGGGCCAGCCGGGCCAGGCGGGAGAGGGGGGAGGAGGAGGAGGAGGAGGAGGAGGAGGGGGAGAGCAGGAGGGACAGCGCGGCGGTGGAGCGGACCAGGTGGGAGAGGGGGAGAGCGGAGGCGAGGGGGAGAGAGACGGAGGCGAGGGGGAGAAGCGGGGAGAAGGAGAAGGGGGCGAGGACGAGAGTGAGAAGGGAGATGGGGATGGGGAGAGGCAGGGCGAAGGAGAGGAGGAAGAGGACTTCGATGACCTCACGCAGGACGAGGACGAAGAGGAAGTGATGTCATCCGCCTCTGAGGAGTCTGTGCTGTCTGTCCCTGAGTTACAGGTGCGGAGAAGCTACGTGTATGGTGTGTCCATCCACGGGATTCGCTTATCATCCCTGCTCCTGTACTGTTCCTGTGTAACCTGTGCGTGTCCTGTCTGTGCCCTTCCCAGGAGACCATGGAGAAGCTGACCTGGCTAGCTTCGGAGCGCCGGATGTGCCCAGAGGGTGACTCTGAGGAGGATAACTCGCAGAACTCCCAGAATTCCCAAGAGGAGAACTCTGAGGAGGAGGAGGAAGTGGGCCCCCGCAAAGGAGAAGAAGCAGGGGATGGCGATGCCAGCAAGATGATTGGTCAGGGGGCTCCACAGGGGGCAGGCCCTCTTGAAACCAGTGACAAGTGTGCTGGACGAGGCAGAGGTCAGTGTTGGGTTTATGGAAGATCAGTGGTGGGGAGGGGGCCTGGTGTTGGTATGATAAGGACACCAAGGAGATGTTAAGGGTTGTGGGATCAGTGTCATGTCAGAGTTAAGTTCAGTTATTTTTGGCTTTAGGGAGGAATCATGTATCTGCAGTCATTTTGGGGGCAGGTCTGCTAACTTTGATTGGATTTAAGCCCTTTCTTAATTAATTAATACTTTGTAATGATTTATATTGTCCAGACCTGAAAGAGGTGTGTAGCTCCTATAGAGCTCACAGCAGGCAAAGTACATCTTTTTAGATTAAAAGTCCTCCAGTCGAGTCAATGCCTCAGTAACCTGACCTGTGCGTGCCAACAGCCCCATCTAGTGGTGCAGGAGGAGAAGTGCAGCAGTCCTGCCAGACTGGGAACATGCCAACAGACTGTGTTCAATGCAAGATGCACTCGGGCCGCTGCCTGTCTCTCTCTGATCTATGGATTCCCTCTCTGTGGCCCCCAGGCCGGGGCAGAACGCCCTCCCGCAGCCTGCGTCGCAGTCGCCGTCGGGAGCGGGACAGCAAGGACACGTCCAAGCTGCTGCTGCTGTACGACGACAACATCCTGGAGAACGACCCCATGAGGGAGAGCAAGGACATCGCCTTCGCCCAGGCCTACCTCAACAGGGTGGGTCACGACCCGCGGGCACCGATACTGACATGCACCTGGTACACTAGCACACTAACACATGCACAATGATACCTGATACCTGTTTCACTGATGCACTGCCGTAACGATAGACTGGGACACTGACAATCGATCCACTGACACATGGGCACACTAATGCTCAATTCACTGATTCATTGGGACACCAGGAGCCTGCATACTGACACACAGGCCCACTAATACCTGGTACAGTGATGGACTGGCACATGGGCACAGTGATGGACTGGGACACGGATAGCCCGGCAGGTTGAAGCTCCGGCATGCTGTGTGTGACAGCACTGCGACCCCTGACCCCCCCCCCTCGCCCCCAGGTGCGGGAGGCCCTGCAGGGCTATCCCGGGAAGGTGGAGGAGTTCCTGGGGGTGCTGTACGAGTTCGAGCGCGGCCGGGAGCAGCGCAGCGCGGTGGAGCTCTTCAGCCAGCTGAGGGCCGTGCTGACCGACTGGCCGGACCTGCTGCGGGACTTCGCCGCCTTCCTGCTGCCTGAGCAGGCCCTGGAGTGCGGGCTGGTAATTATCGAGCCTGCCGGTGCCGCGCTGCTCCGATTCCACCTAGAAAGCCCAGATATTACAGTATTGTGTTTTTCGGGAAGTTCCAGTGGCATCTCCAGACGGTCGTTTTGAGACATCTGATTTCATGCTCACCCACTTTGGAGACGCCAGTCGTTTTAGGGTTCGGCCTGTGTAGCCTCCAGACGCGCCTCTCTGACCCGCCCGCCTGTCAGGTCTGGAGGCTACACAGGGTCTGTGAGCTCAGCGGTGCCTGACAGGACTGCTGTCTGCTCCCAGGTGTCGAAACGGGTTTCTCTATTTTTTCTCTCTCTCTCTCTCCGGCGTCCTGCACCCATCTCGTCCCCCCCGGACCCCCTGGCCAGTTTGCGGAGCAGCAGGCGTTCGAGCGCAGCCGCCGGTTCCTGCGCCAGCTGGAGATCTGCTTCGGGGAGAACTCCTCCCAGTACCAGAAGATCGTCAAGGCCCTGCAGGTGGGGCCCGAGCTCAGCCCCGCAGGTGTCGAGGAGGTACGGCGTGCGATCTCTCTCCCTGCTCGAGCTTTCTCCTCATTCCCGGCTCCCTCCTCCCTCCGTTTCCTTCCTTCCCACTTTATCGCTCTCTCTCCAGCCCTCTTTCTCTTTTCCTCACCCGTCTTTATCTCTCTCTCTCTCTCCCTCCCTTGCTCAGCTAAAGGTTCAGATGGCCTCCCTGCTGAAGGGCCACAGCCACCTGGAGGGAGAATTCTGGGTGTTTTTCGACGAGCTGCGCCCCCCTCCCTCGCGGCCGGGGCAGTTCGAGGAGGCGGCGTGGCCGGAGGAGGGTGAGGGGTGTGCGGAGGGGGGCTTCGAGGAGGTCACCCTGCCTGACCTGGAGGAGGAGGAGGAGTCGCACAAGATCCCGCCCATCACGGGGCGGGGCAAGAGGAGGAAAGAGATGGGTTCCCACGGCAATGAAAAGGTCAGAGGTTGCGAGTGGGCAGGGTTACAGAAAATCTGAGGTCTTGCGGTATTGCAGGGAAATTGAACAGGCAAAACATCTTGTTTGCCATTTTTTTAAATGTCTGGTGTTTCGTTACTGACATCCCCAGCTCCTAGTGTAAAGGTTTTGGTTTTCCCATGAGCCCTTGAATCCCATCCCTGTTGCACAACGTGGTTGCGTAGTTTGTTTCAGACACCCACCACTCTTTGCGTTAAGACTCGCCTCCTGCTCTCAGTCCTAAGTGCTCCTCCTCCTGTAGCTGGTTGTGCCCCCATGCCCAGTGCCCCAGTAAGCCGCTCGGGGTGGCTTCATTCTGATTGGTGGAGTCTTTCTTGACAAAGGAATGCGACTGGCCGGAGGCGGCGAAGGACTGCCCTTGCCCCTGCCACGACTCCGCCCATGACGCTAAACTGCGGCGACATAAGAGAAAGGGCTGCCCGCACTGCCATGTGGCCAAGGTCAGAGGTCATGGGGGGGCTGCGCATGTGTTGTGTTGTGTTTTGTTGTGCCTTCTGGGGACGGGAATGTGTCACTGGCTATGTTTCCATTGAAATGACAAAAAACGATATGGGTGTACTGGGCAAACACCATGCATCCTGGCAGTAAGGAGCAGGACTCCTGCCAATGCCTTGTGATCTGTTCAGCGTGGTCATGAGAACTTGAACGCTGAATCTAGTGCCGCCCTTTTGCGCTCTGCAGGAAACATACACTTCTGCTGCAGTGTGTGTCCCACCCTGAATGTCTCCCACGACTTTAGAGAACCATAATCTCCACTTCACAGCAGCATTGCATCTCAATTACATCTTAGTAGCTCGTGACAATCTCTCTCCCCACCTTTCCCCTTCTCTCTCTCTCTCTCTCTGTCCCTCTCCGTTCGAATCCCTGTGTCTCCGTTTGCTTCTGCATGCCTCCATTTCTGCCGATTCCTCAGCGCTGCGCCCGTTCGCGCTGGGGGGGGGGGTGTGTTTGTCGGATTCCCTGCCTCTCCGCCCCCCCCGTCTCTCTCGCGGTCTTTGTCTGGGACGCGGGTCGTTCCGATGTGGTGGGGGCACGGCCCTGGAGCGGTGACTGTGATTCCAGTCTGCTGGCGTTCACCCCGGCTGTTTCCTCTTGAACCCAGGGCTCCTCGGACTCCTCCAGGCCCTCGAGAAACAGGGAGCCCTCGGAGCCGGGGGCCAGCAGCCCGGGCAGAGCCTCTGCAGAGGGCCGCCTCGGGGGCGGGGAGGAGGAGGGCGAGGGAAACAGCCCCCCCGCAGGTACGGCGCTGCGGAGCCACACCGCCGGTGCGTCCGATCAGCAGACGAGCCGGTCTCCCACTTCCGTTCTCCTGCGCTCCGTCTCAGGCCCGGCGGGGAGCGGGGTGCGCCCCTGGGACTGCGGAGAAGGGGGGGCCCCCCGGGAGGAGGTGGAGGAGGGCGAGGCCGAGCGCGATAAGGACAGCGGAGGAGGCAGCCCCTCCCCTAAAAAGAGCCGGACGGATGCTGGGGCTGCCGTCGCCACGGAGACAGAAGCCTGGGAGGAGGGCGGATGTCGGGACCCCCAGGGCGCCCCCCGGACACCCCTGCCCTGCTGCAGTGCCCCGCCCCACACCCAGGGGGAGCCGCTGGGGGGACAGAGCCCCAGCCTCTCCGGCGCCCCCTTGCGCATGAGCTCCGGTTCCGACTCCACAGTCTGTGCCAAAAATATCTCCCTCACTCCCAGCGGGGAGAAGGTCATCTTGTGGAACAGGTGAGAGAGTTTGCTCTTCTGTATCATTGCTTGCACACGTGTTCCCTGCCCGTGTTGACACAGTGGTTACCGTGCAGGGACAATGAGGGGCTCAGGTCTCAATCATCAGTCTAGATCTCAGTCTAACACTGTGGTGTTAGAGTAGCACACAGGGATGTGTTCAGTTTCCTCTCCTCATCACGCACAAGCCTGCCACACCATTAGGCTGTAAACACATGGTCCGCACACGACTGATGAGGTGCCCGGGTTGTAAGAGACAGCAGCGCACCTGTTGCTGTGAAGGCTGTGGGTTGTGGGGATGAGTTGAGTGACTGTCTCCCTGTCTGTGTGCCTCTCCTCTCCTCTCCTCTCTCCGCGTCTGCTGTCCGTGGGGCAGGGAGGCGGACCGGGTCATCCTCACCACCTGCCAGCAGCAGGGAGCCAGCCAGGCCACCTTCCAGGCCATCTCCGCCCAGCTGGGCAACAAGACGACCAGTGAGGTGAGGGCTCTTGTCCCACAGCCCCGCCCCCCGCCCCCCGTGTGTGCAGCAGTGAGCCAATCGGAATCGGTTCCCGGCCACAGTTGAGCGAAGTGGGAAGAGGGGGTTTCTGTCGTGACGGGGCGGCTGACATCCCGTCTCCCCCCTCCTGCTTTCTCCGCAGGTGTCCCGTCGGTTTCGGGACCTGATGCGGCTCTTCCACACGGCCGCCCGGCAGCTCAGCTCCGAAGACGAGGCCAGCGCGGCCGAGCAGCAGTCCGCCACCGACGAGGAGCTAGACTGACAGAGCCGGGGCCGGTCGGGGCGGGGCGGGGAATGGGACTGGTGGCGCGACGGCCCGGCCCACCAGGACAACACAGAACCAGGCCCCATTGAGATGGACCTCGTGTCACACTGACCCTGACCGGGCCAAGACCCGCTTGGCCCAGTCCAAACATTGCTGGCCACCCAGAATGGGACTGGCCGGACAGATCCTGTACCGGTGGATAGAACTGGACTCTGCTCGGTTAATGGGACTGACTGGACCGGACTGCACCTGGTGGCTCCTGGTTCTCGGGCCGCCCCTGCAGTGCGGACGTGGAGGCTTGAAGGGTTGATGTTGGGCTTACAGGAAGCGCGCGGGTCCCTGTGTCCGAGACCCCCCAGTGTCCGCTGTGGGTCCAGGTGCGTTTTGAGACCTGGGAGGAGACGGCCCTGTCAGCAGCACACTGACCCACTGATCCCCACGGTCCCCAGTGGACTGTCATCACTGTACACACTTCCTCTGGGGGGGGTTCTTGTTTTGATTTTAAAAAGCGATTTCCTTTAGTAAATTTTAAAAGAACATTTTTTGTATTGTTGAGAAAGACAGTTACACATATATCATTAAACCGTTCTTCAGGAAAGAGGTCTGGCGTGTGTGAGTTTTTGGGGCTGTCTGGCGTGTGTGAGTTGACTCTGCTGGTTGAGAGAGACGCTTGGTGTCTGAGTGGTCACTGGGTTAACAAGCCCTTTCCTGAGCACAGGACTTCATGTGTTGAGATTGTTTTACTGCATTGTTTGCAAGGACCAGGTACAAGGACTTACAATGCTATTATTTATAGTTACTTTTCAAGTTATTTTATTTTTCAGTTTTATGTCTTCGACAGGTTGCCTGTACTGTATTTAACAGAGCCAACCTGACCTGGCCAATCAGCGCACAGTGGGCGGGCCCCGCTTCTAAATGACGTCACTGTTTCATATTTTCCACGCCCCCTTCGTTTCCGAACCCAAACCTGGAGACCGCTGTCATCTGAAACTCTTGCTTCTTATGGTGCTGGCTTTCCCTCTTAACCGCCCTCCTTCAGCTGCCTTACCTTCGTTTCGCTCCTGGTGGCGTTTCTCCCTCATCTGAGAGGAATGGCCCGGCTGTCCGTGCGGCTGCTCTGCCCCGCTGCTCTGCTGGCTCTGGCGGCGCTCGGGGCCGTTGCGGTCGCGGGCGGCGACGTGCTCGAGCTCGGGGACGCGGACTTCGACGGCGCGGTGGCTCAGCACGAGACCGTGCTCGTGGAGTTCTTCGCCCCCTGGTGAGAGGCTTTGTCCGGTTTGAAAAACGGACCGTTACGAGTCCAGACCGCGGCTCGGAGTCGAGAGCCGGTTTCGGGGCAGAGCGTAGCTAGAGCCGTATAAATTCTTCATAACAGATTTTATTTATAAGCGCTTGTCAGGAAACGAAGCGCTGCAGAACACTACCCGCAAACGCCGTTGGCACTGTCCGCTACCGGCCAGTAAACTGTCACTGCACAGAAAGTAACGCAGATAAACACAGACTCGGTACTCTGCGGTAATTAGCTGTAGCGCTGACCTGTTGTTTCTGTCGGCTCCCGGCTCTTTAAACACCAATACGCCAATCTCAAAACGCTAAAATAGCAACGATGCCATCAGAACCGCAGTTCATTTTTTTTTAAATACGAATCCGAAACACCTCATAACCGCACATCCAGACTGTACAGTTGGGTGTTATTAGAAAACCTGACTTGCGATTTGTAACGTTTGAAATGTGGGAAGGATGCTTGTGGTTGAGCTGTTTAGACATATTCAGACAACTTTAGAAAACCTTAGTTTCCCAGTGCGATCTTTCTTCACATATAGCTGAACCACATACTTATACAGATCATTTACATTTCAAAAAGGACCATTTTCCTTCTTTTAAATCTCCTGTATGAAACGTTATGAAGAGGCTATGTCATACTTGTCCAGTGACAAAGCAACACCACAAACAGCAGGACGGTGGCAGAGCTTTAGTCAGGAAAAAGGGGGTAAAACATTATCAGTATGTAAGCGATGGGGACACAGAATTTTTCTTGAAAATAAGAATTTATCTGGGGTTCAAGACCCTTTCTTCGCCTTTTCTGTCTCCCTTGTCTGTTTTCTCAGGTGTGGTCACTGTCAGAAATTAGCACCAGAGTACGAAGAGGCAGCCACCAGACTGAAGGGAGCAGTGCCGCTAGCTAAGGTAGGCCACTCCAGAGCCACCTGTCGGACTCCCAGCTCACGTGAGCCACTCCAGGTTTCACAGAGCTGTCTGTCAGACTCCCAGTGCACAGCAATCCGATCCACTCCAGGTTTTAAAATGCTGTCAATAACACCCCTAGTCCACAGCAGTCTGATCCACTTCAGGTTTTACAGTGCTGTCAGTCAGATTCCCAGTGCAGAGAACAGTCTGAACCACTCCAGGTTTTACAGTGCTGTCAGTCAGACTCCCAGTGCATAGAACAGTCTGAACCACTCCAGGTTTTACTGTGCTGTCTTTTGGACTCCCAGCTCACAGCTGGTTGATCAACTCCTGATTTCACTAGAAGCTACAGGGCTCGTGTGTAGAAGATCTGTGTTTTGCTGGCCTCACTGCTGTAATTTGATTACATTTGCATCAACAGGTATGAAAATAAAATGTTTTCACGTTTCCGAAATGGTTCAAACCGCTGTGAAGTGGGAGTCTGTTCTGTGTCTCCGTGCTCGGTCCCAGGAATATATCTGATCTTCTGTCCCAAAACTGCGAGTCTCGTTTGGGTCTGGATTTGGAGCATTCAGGGCTCTGCTGAAAGTGTGTGAATGAAAGACCAGGGTCGGGTCAGACTGAGCAGGAATGATGGGGGTGTCTGGGCGCACAGTTGCCACTCTGACCCCCCCCCCCGTTTCAGGTGGACTGCACAGCCCACTCGGAGACCTGCAGCAGGTTCGGGGTGAACGGGTACCCCACCCTCAAGATCTTCCGGAACGGGCAGGAGTCCTCGGCCTACGACGGGCCGCGCACAGCAGGTGAGCGATGAGCACCCGGCCTGGGGGAACAGGACCGGGACTCTTCCCTGCTGCCTCCGCACTTTTCACTTCATTTTCCTCCTCCTCCTCCTGCTGCTGCTTTGAGCTTTTTATGTGTCGTTATTGACCCCTCTCCACAATCTCCCCCGCCCTCCTCCTCGTCCCGAGCGCACTGTCCCGTTCCGACGCTGTGAGGAAGCCGTAGCCCAGGCAGACAGTCTGTCCGGACACAGAGCCAGACCTGAGGAATTTAAATCAAGGGGTGTCGTGATAAGGCCGTCCAGTGAGCTAATAATGCCATTGTCTAGAATATTATGGGAAATTATGGTCACTTTGATTCGATATAAGATAACGCACAAATCAGTTCAGAGAGGAGTGACCTGATAACGTTCTGTTTTTAATGTCCTACGCTGTCTGGCCTGAGGAGCTCGATCTCCCAGATTCAAGTATGTATACAAGGGCAAACTACAGGGAGATGCTTCTCTACACAAAGGGTGGTGGGTGTCGGGAACAGGCTGTCCAGCCATGTTGTTGAAGCCGATACACTGAGATCCTTCGGGAAACAGCCGGGTGAGACCCTGGGATGAAACCAACCAGCTGCACCAAGTAGCCTCCTTCTCCCCTTGACTGTGGTCTTCCTGGCGATGCCGCCTGGCAGGGGCTGAAGGTGTGGAAGCCGAGAGCCGCTCGTGCGTGACGCGGTCTCTCCCTGCGAGCTGGCCGCTCTCCCGCTCTCCTGACGCAGTCTCTCTGTGTTGCGTGTGCAGACGGCATCGTCAGCTACATGAAGAAGCAGGCCGGGCCCAGCTCGGTGGAGCTCAGGACCGAGGAGGACCTGGACTCCTTCGTCAGCCACTTCGACGGCAGTGTGGTGGGTGAGTCCGGCCCCAGGACGCCGCGCAGGGGATCAGAGACGTCGGGTTCGGCCTGGTCCTTTGTCTGTGCTTGTCGCAGCTTTTCCAGACATGACAAACAAAACAGCCGCAGATCAGGTTTACAAAGGCAGCAAAAAGCAGAGACAGCAGGGCTGTCTTTAAGACCCCAGATGCTTCATTGACCCCTTAATTGGCCTAATGATGTGCCTAACTGCATCTTTACTGTTTTCAGGTCCTGAAGAGAGAGCAGTTTCAATTTGCACGAGTTACTCAAGAGATTAGACATGCTCTGAAAACACCAGTTTCCGATAGATTTCCATTACTTTGTCCATCAGGTGAATTAATAGGTAATTTGCATTTTGGTCATTAATTAACTGCTCTTTTAGGTGAATTGGACGGTAATTGACAAGTTAGTTATCAATTAGGTTCTGAGTTTGGTGCAGGAGAAGTGAATTAACAAGTTAGTGATCAATGAATTAGTTAGATTCTCCATGAGGTGGCTTTGATGTTTGCTCAGGGGTCCCAGGACGACAGTCCCTCTTCCTGATGCTGACGTGACGCCGGCTGTTCCCTCGGCACTGCCGTCACCCCCCTCTGCTCGTCTCCCCTCCACAGGCTTCTTCCTGGGGCCGGAGAGCGCTGACCTGGCCGAATTCCTGCGGGCGGCCAGCTCCATGAGAGACAGCTACCGATTCGCCCACACCAGCGCCGAGAGCCTGCGGCAGAGGCACGGCGTGCAGGGCGAGTGAGTGAGGCGGGACAGCGGGGGGGGAGGGGGGCCGGCACGCCTCCTGTCTGTGACAGCTCTGCTCCCTCTGCCTCTCTCTGCCCCCAGGGCGGTGCTGCTGTTCCGGGCCCCGCAGCTGGCCAGCAAGTTCGAGGAGAGCGTGGTGAGGCACCGCGGCGCCGTCCGCCCTGACGCCCTGCGCAGGTTCATCCGGGAGAACATGTGAGCGCCTCCCTCTCTCTCCCTTCACTCTCCCTCCATGCTCTTCTCTCTCCCCTTTCTCCTCTCTTCTCTCTCCCCTTTCTCCTCTCTCTTCTCTCTTCACTCTCTCCCCTTTCTCCTCTCTCCTCTCTCTCTTCACTCTCTCCCCTTTCTCCTCTCTCCTCTCTCTTCACTCTCCCCCCTTTCTCCTCTCTCCTCTCTCTCTTCACTC